TTAACCACCCACGTCTCGGTGTGAGCAGGCAAAGTGAAGCAGGAGCCCACCATGTACCGCGAGGGCCCCCCGTACCAGCGCCGCGGGTCCCTGCAGCTCTGGCAGTTCCTCGTCACGCTCCTGGACGACCCCGCCAACGCCCACTTCATCGCCTGGACGGGCCGGGGCATGGAGTTCAAGCTGATCGAGCCCGAGGAGGTACGGGTCGCGTGAATGGGGAGGCAATGGGGAGCTGCTCCCACCCCTCAGCTCTGCCCTAACCCCCTGGCTGCTAGAGCCAGGGCAACCTCCAGAGCTGGCGTTGGGGTCCGGAGGGGTCTTAGCCAGGACGTGATAGGTCAAGTTGGCTCTCCACGTCCTCCCTGGCAAGCTAGGAGAGGCTGAAATCCAGTTGCGAGGGGCCAAACCGTTTTCAGACAGGAGAACTAAATCCTGGAGCCCAGTTGCTTAACAGAGATCTCTGTGATCAGCGTTGCTCCTCCAGGGGGGAAAAAAAAAAAAAACACTTGTGCTTGAAGTGAGGCATGTGTCCTACTACCCATCCGCCTCTGGAGGGTGAGCGGGAAAAACCAGCGATCCATCTGCATCCAAGCAGCTGTAGAAACGTGCCTTTGATTTTCTTCGCTGCCAGCACCGCAGCTTCCTTATCTCAGCAGCGTTGCACGGAAAGACCTCTGCTCCCAGAGCAGCTGGGCAGGTTCAGGTCCTAGTCCAGCCACCGAAAATTTGGCTCTGGTGGCACGGCTTGGGTCCCCCCTCAGCTGCGGCCGTGCTCGATCCCACATAAGCTTGTTTTTCAGGGTTTCTCTTGGTGGCACTGGCTCCCTGCCCCAGGCTTGGGAATCCATCTTACCTCTGAAAGGGGGCAATTCTTGCAAGACCCAATCTGCCCACCCTGTGTCCTGCATCCGTTTCTCTCTGCTTGCACCTGGGAGTAGCTGCAGCTTCCCGGTGACCCCCCCCATCACCAAACTCCTTGAAAGTGGCCTATTGAATGTCCTCCACCTCCGCTGCTGAATGTTTTGCAAAGACCTGCTTGAGGGGAGCTCTTTGGTCGCGTCTCCCTGAGCCCAAAACTGCTCTAACATCTTCTGCGTTTGGTTCCCACCCCCGCCGCCAGCGGTTTCACTGGTGGCTTTGAGTGATGTTGCACTGGGCTTCCTAAGTCCCTGCCTGGGAGCGTTGCGCGGAGCTGTGCAGAGTTTTGCAGGGTGACACAGAGGAAGGAGCTGTTTGGGAAGTAATTGAAACCAGCTGTAGAGCTGAGCTGCGCATTGTGGGTAATTACCCATAATATCTATTACGCTGTGCATGGAAATTGTGGTTTTGAAACTGCTTTTTTGGCAGGCTCCCCTAATCAAATGTCTTTTGATTAGGCCTCCAGTTTAGCACTGCCTGCATTGTGGCAGGCTGCACTCGAATCTGGAACTGCTTTAGCAACAATCGCATTGATTGCCTGGCGGAGCGGGCCAGATTTCAAGGGGCGGCGGGGGCGTCTGCTGTGCCGCGAGCGCTGCCACAGCACGCGGGGAGCTGGACGCCAGGCTGCGGCCGCCTTATTTAGGGAGAGGAAGGAGTGATTCTCGCTGACGCTTTTGTAACCGGCGGTGCCGACGTGTGCCCTAGCTCAGTGGGGTATTGCTGGTGCCAGTCTCCTTCGCGTGACGCGAATCTGCCGTGCCCTGGCCTTTGAGCGCGGTTGCTTTGCTGTGGGGAAGGACGCCTTTCACTCTGCCCTTCGGGACTCGGCTCCAGGAGGAGAACATGCTCTTGGCTGTGTTACGCCTGCACTGTGGGGTCCCCATGCAGGAAGCCCTAAATTCACGTTCGTCTCTCCCTGATCACGCTAGCTTATCTCTCTGTTTTGGTTTTAGGTAGCTGAGGAGCGGAAGAATTGCTCCTGTCCCAAGCAGATATCTTCTGTCCAATTTTTTTTGCTGTGCAAGGTGAAAAAGGCAGCATGCAAAATTCAGCTACTATAGGAGAGCTTCCAGACTGGGTGTCCTGCTCTGAGGCCAGGCTTCCAGCTTTGGGTCCTTCCAGTGCCTGGGGCTGGGTTTTATTGCAGTTAGCTTGCAGAAACCTCATGGGTTTCTTCCTGGGTAGACGTTCTGCAGGTTATCCATGCCAGGGATTTTTCAAGAAAGAGGTGGACGTGTGTAGAGCACACTGATATCTGCTGACTTTTCTCCCCCAAAAAGAACTGTGGTGAGCAGCCTGGTTGATCCAGCCACTGGAAGCAAGCTGCCATCATGCATTTCTGATCTGCGATCAGATATTTTGCAGCTCTGACTTATAGAGGGCCCACGTCCAAACAACAGCTTGAGCTTAGCCGGCTGTTTCCTTTCTCTCTCCAGGTAGCACGACGCTGGGGGATCCAGAAGAACCGACCCGCCATGAACTACGATAAGCTCAGCCGGTCTCTGCGCTACTACTACGAGAAGGGCATCATGCAGAAGGTGACTGCTACCCGCTGCAAAGCAAGGGGCAGCTCCCAACAGGGTCGTGGTCACCCCCTGTCACCCCAGCACATGAGACAGGGCAGGGGAGGGACTACCCCAAGTACAGGTCATCCCCATGTTTTTCTTATTCCCCTGCAGTACAAGGGTGGGAGGGGACATTTCCTTGGCAAACCGAGTCCTGCCATAGACTCGGTCCTTGGGCCACATGACTGCCCCCATCCTCCCTTACCTAGGCTAATTCGGCAGAGCCCAAGCACTCGTTAAAGTGCCTTTTTTTTGAGGGGGAGAAGAGACGGTTCGGTTCTGCCCCAGCAGAGCTCTCAAGGAGACCTCCCATCCGCCTTACGCCTCTGTGTGCTTTCAGGTGGCCGGCGAGCGGTACGTGTATAAGTTTGTCTGCGACCCCGACGCCCTCTTTTCTATGGCCTACCCCGACAATCAGCGCCCGTTCCTGAAAGCGGAGCCCGACTGCCACGTGAACGAAGACGAAACCTTGCCTCTGACGCACTTCGAGGACAGCCCGGCTTACCTCCTGGAGGTGGATCACTGCGGCAGCCTTCCCTACGCCGAAGGTTTTGCTTACTGACTTTGCCAGCCCGCAGAGCAACTAGCGCTAGCAAATGCAGTTTGGGCAAAGGAGGGCAACGATTTTATAGAGAATATTTTTTGCTGTTCCTATTAAAAACGAAAACAAAAAAAGTACAAACAAAACACACAAACTGGCCTTTAAGCGCAATTGGAGGAATCTAAAACACGTGGTGCGCGTCACCATCACGTTCCCGACCTTGCTGTCCCAGGGCTAGTGCATAGGATGGCCCGTGGCTGACGCCTCCTGCCAAACATCAGCGAGATGTTTTAGGGAGATGGGGGCTAAACCCGAAGTCTCTGATCCAGGCCGCGCTTCTCGTGAGCGCGAGACGGCCGCTGGCTCCAGCCGTGCCCGCGGGACTGGCTGGGCCGGCGCTTCTCGAACGAACCGTCACGACAATCCGCTTCGCATTGATCACAATACGCGTAGCTGCCTTGTGTGTTGGAAAGGTCTTTGATTGGCACAGACGACGGATGTGTCGCGGGAGGGGAGGGAGCGCCATCCGGGTCGCGGGGGCTTGGACGTGGGGCACGGCATGGCCCTTTGCAGCAGCAGCAGCCTCCCCTAGCCCGGAGGTGCCTCCCGGCTGCTTCCTCCACAAAATCCTACCCACCAGACAGTTGTTCCAATTAAGGGTCATTCTTTGATATAACGGTTTTTCAGCCTGCCCCGCTTCATCTCCCTGTCCCTGTTGCTTCTCCTCCCCTTCTGAGGCTGCGTGTGATGGATTTAATTTGAGGGGAGGAGGCGGTGGCAGTAATTGCCTCCCTTCTTCCCTCTTTTTTTTTTTTTTTTTTATGTTTTAGGAAAAAGTTTCTAAAGTGATTTTTGGAGGGTTTTTTTTTTTTGTATTTTAAGGAAAAACTTTTCTTGCAGACAGGCCGCTGCTCCCCTGGGGCAGCAGGCAGTGCGACGAGAGCCCCGTGGCATGGGGGGGCCCGCTCAGGGACACCCCGCCAGCCATGCCCTCTTTGGCTTTCCCCCGCGTTTTCCTGGCGGCACCGCCCTACCC